CTATTATCACTTCGGTAAACACCTTTGAATAGTTAAGGTTCTTCAATTGTCTCGCTCAATAGAAAGGTACACAAAAGAATGACTGCGTTTTCTAAAGCACGTTTGAGATAAAATCTCGTTCACATGACACGAAGTTTGCATTATAAGCATACTAAGTCTCGTACACGCCAGCAAGAATTGCGAGACTACAAAATGGCGGCGGCCTGTCGCCGAATGTAAACAAACCGCGCGATTGCATAAACGCTTATCTATGGCATGGAACACCAAAATACGATAAATAATTTTAAAAAATGTGTTTCTCCGGAAAAAAACCGGAGGTTTTCAGGATTTTTTAGAAATATCCGGATTTCCGGATATATCCGGAAGACTTTCATCTCTGAGTATTTAATTATGTTTTGATTTTGTTATAAAATATTATGTATTGTATTTAACCAAGTTGGCTGAAGAGCAGTGTAAGCTGCAAAAGAGCTTCCAACAAACTGCAGATACTAAAAAATACAAGTATTTTGAACCTGGTTGTCTTTTTAATATTTTTGATATCTATATAACTTTTATCTTTCCTGAAAATGGTTGAAAATTACTGATTAATGCAAATCCCATAAAATTCATATGTAGTGTCAAAAATGCAGTATTTTTAAAAGTGGTACATGATAAATCCTCACATTTTCCACACCAGATTAAAAAGTACTCCCTATCTTTTGGCAGTTAGCACTAACTGCTTACCAAGTCACTGCCTTAAAATAAAATGTTTAGAAGTGATAAGAAGCTTCACCATAGGCCAAAACTGTAGATAAACTACTACCACAGCCATTGAAAATTCTGAAAAACACATGCATGAGTAGCATTAACATAGAGAGAACTTTCATATTTACAATGGGACAAATGTGGAAGTGGATACATGCTAAAACAGCATAATATAACAGTTTTGGGAAAAGGCACAAAAATGTTGGTAGCATGCAGCATACAGTTTTTTTCAAAGCTGGAGACACAAAAACACTACTGTGCATTACTGATACTATACTACGGCAACAAATCAACTGAACCATAATACGTACATCAAAAAGCAGTGTTAGTTAGTCTAGACATTTATAAGGAGTTTGATTATTAGTGTCAAAGTTTCAAGTTTTTTAACATATTGGATAATACACATTTTTGCTTCCTATGCTCCACAAATTACAACTTTTTCTCTTGTAATAAAAAGCTATGGGCTACTTCCCCAAATCCTGAATACAACAGGGTGAACAATACTGTCACCCATAAATTTATTAGTTTTAGTAATTTTGAAAAATATTCCATATTCATTTAAAATGATTCTTTAAGTCTTAAATTAAAATCTATAAACAACTATTTTCACAACCATAAAGTCTGACGACTTATGTACAAGATCAATATATATACAATAAAACTTTAACTTCCAATTGTATTTTTCATATTGAATTGGCCTTATGGATTAGACAATAAGATAAAATATTAAATTTTTCAGTTCAATTTACAGAATAATGCTTTTTATTATACAATAGCCAACAGGTTTTGCTTCAAGTGTATGGAAGTTTTAAATTATTTTAGAAGCAGCATAAAAATTTACAAATGTTTAAAATTATAGACCTTAAAGATTGACATATCTTTGTTAAAACTTAAGAACATACCCCATTCAGAGAGCTTATTATTCCTTGTATGATTTCATAATCAGAATCTGGATTTAAGGGAGCATTATAATAGCCTCCATAGAGTTTACCATCACCAACTGTAAACATTTCTTGAAAAGATGATGAGCTTAATTCAGCTGCAATGTAGAAAGGAAGTCCCATCTCTTGTGCTTCAGAATAGTTATACAACTGGTCAGCGTTAAAAACCACAATATCACTTTTCTCTAGCACGACCACACGATAGGCTCTATGGTAAAAGAAAAACTTATAATTATACAGCAACAAGAAAATTTAATATCGGAATTCTTTTAAAACTTTAGCATATGATTTATTAGCACAAAGAAAACAACTTACTTTCAGAAAATTATGAAACAAAAAAATAATAAAATAAAACAATATGAACCTTTAAAAAGGCATAGATAATAAGACATGATTTAAATTTCTTTTTCTTATTTCAGGTTTCTTGACACAAAACAACAAAGGCTAGCTGTACCAAAAAACAATTTTTTAAAGAACGAACTTTAAAGAATGAAAAGAAATTGTAAGCGTAAAATATAAAAATACACAAAATTATTTTTGAAAGATTAAAAATTAAATAAGCTTGTGGCCTGTAATGAACTAATAAATACACGGTCAATTTGGACATTGTCATAATTTCCAATGACAGTGGCTATTATTGTCAAAGCTACATCACAAGCTAAAATATGCCACTGCTGAAGGTCATAGCAATGGAACAAATGTAAAATGTAAGCATTTTTAACTTGAATATCTCACTGTTCACACTGGAGAAGTAAATGAGGAACAAAAAAGACTATGGTCAAATATCAATGGTAGGTTTCATTTGGAGAAGTTTGTTGAGCCATTGCTCACCCCAAATAGCCTGCCAACTAGCCCAATCCTTTGCTCTGATGATAAATGTAAGAGACATGTACATTTGTGGAACAAGCAGTGGTTCGATGTTACCATTGGAGGTTGACTTTGGCTGCAGTGTTAGCAAAATCGTTCCCTTGAGCAAAATCGTTCCAAATTTACCAGGAATCCAGAAAAAGTAAATAAATAATATAGAGAACAATGAAAAATAGGCCAGTGACTTATGAATATCCAAGAAATGTGGGAGAGAACAAACATTAAATAATTCCAGGGCTAAGCAAATCAGTATTGATGGTGCAATTAGTGTATTGTTTAGCTTGTATATAAGCTAGGGCAAGTGAAGCTGTATACAACACAATATTGACCAAAGAATCTGTAGAGGGAATCAAATGAGCAACAATAGAATTACATCTATAGCAGAACAAACAGTCACCTGACTTCAAAACATCCCTAATAATTGGTAAAGGATGATGGTATGAGAGCAGAAATTCACAATTAATGGTATTTATTAATAATTTAATCAATAGCCTGATTAATTGAATACAATTGATTAGTACAATGTTCCTTCAACCATGTCACATACAAGGGGAGTAAAGAAACTAGTCAGCAGTTCTCAAAAAAAAAGAGAGAGAGAGAGAAAGAAAAACAAAACTGGTGATAGTGCTACCAGCCTGTTTTTACCTCCCTAGCAAGCAGTCATACATTAATGACAGAGGCAGATATCCTAAGTAGCTTTGCCAGCTCAAAACTAGATGGAATGTATATCTTCCTTGACCTTTCAAATCTTGTGAAAAACAACCGTGGAACTGGTGATGGGAGAAATAACGGATGTTAAATTTTATTCCAAACTTCTTCTGGATTTGACATCTGATATATCATGCATGGACATGAGTCTTTTAAAAGACTAAGTAGTCAGAAAGAGTAGAGTGTCTCCAGAGGATACCCTAGGTTCTCTTTTAAGCTTGCTGTGCCTTTTGGCAGAAAGGGGCTCACCACGGGTGATGATAACTCAGTATCTTTGTGATGTACTCCACAATAGTGCCTTGGTCTGTAGCCTGTCATCCAGCTGATTCCTTGGTCAGGTTGCATTCTTTCAGTTCTCTCTCCATTGTTCTTCTTCAGATTACTTTTGGAGAGCCCTGGTTCCTTTTCCCTTGTGGATGGATAATAATAATGCAAAATATTTCAAGGTTTCGTGGATGATAGTTACAGCTGCCTGGAAAATATAATCAGTTACTGCCTTCACACAGTTGTTAATAGATGGTAGCTTAACAAGGACAAGATTAAAATCAAGAGTGAAGAAGGAGGGTCAGTTGACCATCTAAGAATTCTACCATGGCACATAAGTCAGATTGCAATGACCATTTTCTTTCAGAGTGATGGAAAAGTAAGTACAAGGTGAACAAATACATATTTTTGCCAGTATTCTCCTGCAATGAAAATACAGAGGCTATCTTCTAAGAACAAACACTCCTCATCAATATTTGCACTACCCCAGATTAGCCTGTGTCCATTTGTATCTTCCAGGATTATGAAGGGAGATGTTCATTGTGCAGTGAAATCAAAACTGTCTTCTTGATGGAGATTCTGTCCTGGTAGCAGTTAGAAAAAGCACAGTGCAATTGTACAGCCAATGAAGACATAAGTAGTAATGGCTTCCAGTGGTTTAGTGTGGCACAGTTATGGAGGAAATATGCAGAAAAGATATTCCTAAAAATCTTGGCTGTCACATAACCTGTCATTTCTTATTAATGAAAACTTCTGAATGGTGATAGTATCAACTGGTTTCAAAATGTGCAGAAATATACAAAATCAATCAAGGCCTGGCTAAGAGTCCAGTGAGCAAGAACACAACTATTAATGTTATTAATCTATTAATGTTACACATTAAATTTTAATGCTATTTGTTGAAAAGAAACTCAATCACTTATGTGCAATTTAAAATATTCAATAATATTTGAAAACAAAATATTAACCAGCTGCAAACCAATTTATAAGAATAGTTCACTTGTTTAAAAACATTTATTGATACTTAAGAAAACCTCATATTGTGCAAACTATTTCTACAATTCGTATTTCCCATCAGTATTTATCTTTAGGTGAGGAAGAGAAGAAGAAAAGGAAATAGAAAGACTGAAAGAGAAAAAGGAGAGACTTGAAAAAGAGAGAGAGAGTGAATTAGAGCAAAAATAGAGAAAGAAGAAAAGGAGATGGAGAGACTGGCAATTGAAAGCTCTTGTAAAGTTAAAGTGGCCTTGCTGAAACACCATGAACTTATTGAAGAGGGTTTTTGTCGGAAGTTCAGAGAAGTAAAATCTGACACTGAAGAAAATGTATTTCAGTTTGTGACACATCTATGGAGATACTTTACAAGATGGACTGACATGGACAAGTGTGAAAATAGTTTTGAGGGACTGGCAGATCTATTAATATGTGAACAGTTCATGAACACATGTTCCACTGACATGTCACTGTTGCTAAAGGAGAGAGCACCAAAAGACATAAATGAGTATATGGAAGCCCATAGAAGGAATATAACTGGCAAGTCCAAGAGTATCCAGTTAAATTCGAAACTAGGGTTGGCTGATCAAAAACAAGATACGACCAAAGGCTACAAGAACTTAATAGACAAATGGGAGAAGAAATGATATGCTTATTATAAAATGGGGCACAATGTGAATGATTGCAAGACTGTCACCAACAAGCAATAGCAGGAATTTCAACATAAAACAGCTGGAGGTACCTATGAAGATAGTGCTAGTAAAAAACAAGAAAAGAGTGATTGTCACCATGGATGCTGCTGCCAGAAGAAACAGAATAGAGACAACACATAAGAATCATCACAAGATGGAAGTGCTATCTCTATGATTAAACTGTGCACAACTGACAGTTAAGTCAAGTTAGCAAATAGTTCAATAACTCCAGTGGTGATTGGAGCATGTGACAAACATTGGGAGGTTCCAACAAACTATGACATGCCAGTAGGTGAAGGCTATGTTGAGGACAAGAAAGTGAAGGTCCTATAAGACACTGGGTGGAGTAGTGCAGCAGTGAGAACAAGTTTAGTATCTTATGATCAGATGATGGGCAAGGTACATCTGTGTGCGTGCTGATTGATGAGAAAGTTTCCATAGCAAAAATAAAGGTGGACACTCTGTACTAAGTGGGAGACCTTGAGGCCATGTGTATGAAGGCACCCATCTACGTCTTGGTGAATGGCAATATACCAGGCAGTGGAATTTTGTAGGAACTAAACAGAAAGGAGACTGATGAGGCATCTGCTGTCACCACAAGAGCTCAAGAAAAGAAAGGCAAGCAAGTCATCAAGCTCCTTCAAGTCTCTACAAGTGACATTCTGAATGTAGGTCTACAGGAACTGAAGAAAGAAAAGAAGAAAGATCCATCACTGCAGAAACTTTGGGACAGTGCCAGGGAGAAAGTAGAGCACAAACCCCACGGGAAGAGGACCTACAGAATAGAGGATCAGAAAGGAGTACTGTACTGGATCTATCAAAGCAGTTCTACTGGGGAAGCTAAACACATTATAGGCTGTCGGAACCACTTCTATGACAAGAAGGGCAAGGATTGACATTTTCAAAGTCAGAAGGTCTTAGTACTGCTACTCACTGACAACAACAAACTCACCCTGCAGTGGAAAGGACCTTTTGAAGTGCAGGAAGTTATCAACAGAATGGACTATAAAGTGAAAGTGGATGGGAGGACCAACATATACCACACCAGTCTGTTGAAGAGGTATTTTGAGAGGGGAGAAGACCTGATGGTTGCAGCTATTGAGACACAGATGGATATTGCAGGTGTTGCTATCATAAATGTAGAACCAGAAGATGGTGACTTTGTCATAGAGGATGAAGACGTACTAGACCACTGGGTGGAAATCCAACGTACGAGGACGTCAGCATAAATGAAGAACTGACTAGCAAGCAGAAGAAAGACCTCCAAGAACTACAGTGCCAGAAAGCTGTAACTGTGATTGTTATAATGCTTATCAATTGGAAAACTTAAAATATCTGACCAGGAATATTTATAAATTTCAAATGTTTCAAATCATTTAACTTCAGTGGACTCTCATCAGACATTAGTAATTTTATGAAGACATATAAATTTGTCGTGGAAAACCTAGTGTGTGTGGCCAAGAATAAAGCTAGCTAGCTTCCCAGCAGATAGTATCTACATCAACTCGTAATTAACTCATTGTGAACCCTCAATGAGATACCAAGGAGGTTCCAGACTAGAAAGAAAACTTTATATTGTTTGTAAGTTTGTGAAAATTTTGTTTATAAATCATTGTTTTAGTAAC